AATGCAGACTCTCCCGCCAATTTAGCTGTATTGAACACACCAATGTTGAATCACTCTGTCTGCTATACGATATTAAACTGTTGGCGTCTACGTTGTTAGGCTGTCATCTTATATTCCATGGGACAATTTCGCATCAGTTGAGTGTGAAATTAATTCATTTCAGCACGCTGCAATAATCACGAGATTCTGTTTAGGGGAAAATTAAATCCTTTATCACACTGGATCGATATACATTCACATGGAACAGCATGATACCGAGACGAAGTGAGATAAGCAGCAAGCATTTGTCTCCATGGTTCCAAAAGTTAAGTTTGTTTGACGAGGTTGTTTCCTTGTTGTTAAAGTAACAGGGGCGGTCGGGTAGCCTAGTGGTTATATCGTTCGCTCGTCACGCCGAAGACCCCGGTTCGATTTTTCTGGTTTCCCCCGCCGTGACATTGCTGGAATATTGCTAAAAGCGGCGTCAAACCATACTCACTCACTCACTCACTCACTAAAGTTACACGCGTACGTTGCAATATTCCAGCTGGAATATTGCTAAAAGCGGCGTAAAACTATACTCACTCACTCACTTAAGTTACACGTTGCAATATTCCAGCTATTTCATGGTGGTTTGTTGTGTGTACTTGTTTAATAGTGCCACACAAAACAATATTCAATCTATATGGCAACGGCCTGTAATAATCGAGTCTGGACCAGACAATCCAGTGATTGATACTATGAGCAAGGCCCAACTCCTTCGGGTCATTCTGATTCATTATTGTGCGTGATGATCCTATCCAGTAGGTCGCCTCTTGCGATCAGTAGGGGTTCAGTGGGCTTATTCTAACCCTGTATTTAGATAATCTTACAAAACATACTTCAATTTAGCTGTTGTAGACCATGTGGGGATTCGAGGTCCAAATAGTTCTTAACCTTCATGCCAACCGCAAAAGGCGACTAAAATGGGTATCTGGTGGTCAGGCTCTGTGACGTTGGTGGTTTTGTTTCATCGTACCCAGAGGGCTTGGGTCGTCAATCATCGTCATTCAAGGGTCGGTGGGGTAGCCTAGTGGTTAAAGCGTTCGCTCGTCACGCCGAAAGCCCGGGTTCGATTCCCCACATGAGTACAATGTGTGAAGCCCATTTCTGGGGTCCCCCGCCATAAAATTGCTGGAATATTGATAAAAGCTCACTCACTCACTCACCCATTGCTGAGTGCGGTGTTAAACAACAATCAAACACCGACCCGCCCACCCTTTTATCCACCCACCAACTCACCCACTCACCCATTGCTGAGTGCGATGTTAAACAACAATCAAACACCGACCCACTCACCCACTCACCCATTGCTGAGTGCGTAGTTAAACAACAATCAAACACCGATCCGCCCACCCTTTTATCCACCCACCAACTCACCCACTCACCCATTGCTAAGTGCGGTGTTAAACAACAATCAAACATCGACCCACCCACCCTTTTATCCACCCACCCACTCACCCATTGCCGAGTGCGGTGTTAAACAACAATCAAACACCGACCCGCCCACCCTTTTATCCACCCACCCACTCACCCACTCACCCATTGCTGAGTGCGGTGTTAAACAACAATCAAACACCGACCCACTCACCCACTCACCCATTGCTGAGTGCGTAGTTAAACAACAATCAAACACCGACCCGCCCACCCTTTTATCCACCCACCCACTCACCCACTCACCCATTGCTGAGTGCGTAGTTAAACAACAATCAAACACCGACCCGCCCACCCTTTTATCCACCCACCCACTCACCCATTGCTGTGTGCGGTGTTAAACAACAATCAAACACCGACCAACCCACCCTTTTATCCACCCACCCACTCACTCACTCACCCATTGCTGAGTGCGGTGTTAAACAACAATCAAACACCGACCCACCCACCCATTTATCCACCAACCCACCCACTCACCCACTCACCCATTGCTGAGTGCGGTGTTTAACAACAATCAAACACCGACCCGCCCACCCTTTTATCCACCCACCAACTCACCCACTCACCCAGTGCTGAGTGCGGTGTTAAACAACAATCAAACACCGACCCACCCACCCTTTTATCCACCCACCCACCCACTCATCACCCATTGCCGAGTGCGGTGTTAAACAACAATCAAACACCGACCCACCCACCCTTTTATCCACCCACCCACCCACTCATCACCCATTGCCGAGTGCGGTGTTAAACAACAATCAAACACCGACCCACCCACCCTTTTATCCACCCACCAACTCACCCACTCACCCAGTGCTGAGTGCGGTGTTAAACAACAATCAAACACCGACCAACCCACCCATTTATCCACCAACCCACCCACTCATTCACCCACTCACTCCTAATTTGATACCGGTTTGTGTCACGTGAAATTCATAATGTCAATTTGCTTTTAAGAAGCACATGAAATATTATCGCAAGAAAGTGTCAGGGAAACAGCAGACTCTTATTTCTAAGTCGAAAAAGTTCCAGCTGCCTTTCTGTACTTCCATACTTCAGACTCTCCTAAATACCAGTGCTTGACTGTTGACTCTAGGACATGCATAGGCTCTACAATTAGCTGGTCCAGATACTTATAGAAATGTCACATCCACTACTTAATGACAATAGAGTTCCAAATGGGAATCATTTGCAAATTTTCTGCTGATTAAATAAGGTTTTTAAATGTGCATCAGTTTTTGTTCACCGGAGCTCCCGTGCACATTTTCTGACATTATGAGATGTTGAGTGATCCTCCACTTTCAATGGAAATGCCATGTCAGTACGCAGGCACTGCAGTAAGCCATCAAATGTGTTGGCTTCGTGATAATTGATTTACTCAAACAACATAAATACTGTTTTTTTTATTAGCTGTTGGCTATTTAATAGCCAATGGTGATGTTAGTGAGTGAGTGAGTGAGTGAGTGGGTGGGTGGGTGAGTGAGTGAGTGAGTGAGTGAGTGAGTGAGTGAGTAAGTGAGTGAGTGAGTGAGTGAGTTGGGTTTAACGACGCTTTTAACAGTATTCCAGTTATATCGCGGCGTGTCAGCTTAATATGGGAGGAAAACCCGAAGCGATGCAGGTTTCCGACTTTTACCACTTCGGTGAAACCCACGAGCACGGGTATGGTGCTGACAAACCTAGAAACATAATCGAGGCGAACCGGGATTCGAACCCACAATCATAGGTTTCTGGCGTGGCCAAGGTACGCAACAGTGCACAGCGAATCGCGGCGCCTTAGACGACTGGGCCACCCGTGGCCCCAGTGAGTGAGTGAGTGAGTGGCTTCTTCAAATATCATACACAAGTAGGCTTCACAGACTGTATGCATGGGGGTTTCACAGATCGTATCTCTGTGCGGAATCGAACCAGGGCTGTCGGCTATTTGACTGCCATTAATATCATAGGTGAATGGATAGAATATTTTGGTTCTTTATAAGCGATAGAGGCGTATCATACCTTCACGGCCTGCGTGTTCTAATGTAATTCAAATATACTTGCAGATGTATTTCAAAAGTTATACGTCTTAAGCTTCAACAAAATCAGTAAATGCGCAGTCGGATGACTGGATATCTGGTCCATCACTTGACTGTCTGGTCTGGTTACATACCGTCGTCGGGGCGGTCGGGTAGCCTAGTGGTTAAAGCGTTCGATCGTCACGCCAAAGACTTTGGTTCGAATCCCGACATAGGTACATGAAGCCCATTTCTAGTGTCCCACGCCGCGATATTACTGGAATATTGCATTGTTAAAAACATACTCACTCACTACATATCGCCGTCACATAGGCAGGAGTACTGTTGTGTGGTGTAATGTGTAGGGAGACGTATGTATACACTTCATCACTGTGTATATTTCGGACCTTGGGACATTGCCTTGTTGACCGCATCCGTGGTCTAGTGGTAGAGCGTCCGCCCGGATCTGGGTCCGGGGTTCCATCCCCGGCCGCGTCATACCAAAAGATGGTACTTGGTGTTACCCTGTCTGGAGCTCGGCATTAAGGGGCTAAAGTCGGACTGGTCGGCTCGGAGTATACTGTGTCTGAGTAGGGTATTCATGTTAAACTGCGGCATGGTATCTCAATGGGCTAGCACTATAAATCGGCATCAGCACAGAATAGTACAAGCAGCCACACACACACACACACACACACACACACAAACACACACACGTGCATGCACGTCGCTATATAAGTGCCATAAACTTGGACGGGACGTCATACCCCATTTCATCCCACCTCACCACTTCATTGTTGACTGGTTCTATTGTTCTGAGCCTTTTGTACGACTTCTTTCTAACGTATGTTTGCACATACGTACGGTAACCAGTACAAAAATGCATACAGTGTTTGCAGGTATAACAACGAACAAAACCTATCCTTGTGTACGGGGCGGAAACAAGAAATTAAGAAGCTTACCAGAGAAAATCAATATATCCCTTTGTTATAGCTGACAATGTCTACATTATCCATCAAGTAGAAGTGCAATTGTTGCGAGTTCAACAAGAGCAGGACATATCTTCACACGACGACTGTTGGGCTGTTTTACAAATTGGACAAGGATTTTCAAAGAAAATCGGTATTGCAGAACACTATTATATAGCCGCATTTCCATTTAATCAATTTATTACCCACTTTTGTTTCCATGGTAATCAGCAAATATAGAGTTTAGGTAGAGAGTTAATTACAGCATTATGTTTTTTTCGACAAGAGAGACGGGTAAAATCTTTCTTTTTGAGTCTTTGATGGTCGACTGTAATGAATACACGGTTTGGACCTGAGAATGTAAAGGCCACTAACAGCGTTGCCATGACAAAAACATTCTAATAAAAACATGAAAAGAAAGACCGACTGTAAATGCAATAACGGTTTCTCATCTTCCTGGTTTGTTTAATGCTACAGGAAAAACTTCAGCTGGCCAGGTAATCATGTAATGGGAAAATGACACATCAACTTTGGTCTTTGAGCTTTGAGGGAAGCGATAGGGTCATGTGATGTCACGTGATCATACCAATATCGATCGGTTATCTGTGTCAGTGTAGTGTATACTTGATTAGAACGTAGCTGGGAATCTAGCGGAGAAGTTACAGTGATTAGCTCGTGGACTCGCGCGGACCTCAGAGAAGTAAGGCACGAGCGAGCAAGGAGACTACCTTGTACACGGACGTCAGAGAAGACAGGCGGAGACTTCAGTGTGGACTAACAAGTGCCTCACTTTTCTGTGTCACGTTCGGGATTCCGTTTCGCTTGAAAATTTAGCCATGGCAAGTTTGCAGCTTTCAGATTTTCAGAAGAGGAAAATAATTAGTGTCTTCAACACCCTGTATGGTATGTATTATTATTGTTTCAACTTTCAAAATTATAAAACATTTTAGAGCGTTTGTCACATTTACTGAACATGTGATTAATATCCCAGCAAAAAGCAGGTATATATTGTACATTGGAATAACATGTTCTCTCTGTGTTTGAATGACATCGTGTTGCTGCTTCAAACAAATTAGTTACTTTTCTATTGGCATGTGAATCAGTAAGATCAACGTAACTATTAATGTTTCTTCATGCGCCTGTATTCAAACATCACTTGAAGCTATAAAACCGCTATACGTGATTCCAGTGGTTCAAAGAGCTTCATTAAATTTGTATTTGTGTTTATAAAAGTATTTTGGTTATATTTTTTAAGTGTAACGACCGGTTCATTCAAATAGCTGTCGTTGGTCACGCATGTACACGTCATTTCGGACGTAACATTCATTTCAATATCATCACGCGTGAACCTATCAACGTTGAGCAGAACTTCCCGGGTGTCAAGTGTGTATTTTGTGATATTTGTCTCTGTTATTATCTTCCCATTAAAGGTGCTGTGGTAGCCTAGGTGTCAACACGTTTTGCTTGTTTTAGCCGAATGAATTCGTTTGACTCCTAAATAATATTGCCATGATACGTCAAACTCCTGAACAACCCTACTAAGCTATCAGTAAGCTATTAGCCATTGCATATTGTCTGTGAACACTCTTCCTCGACTAAGTTATTGATGTATATCTACATCGAGCGACAGAGGCATTTTGATGGCACAAATTAATTCCTATAATCGTTCGGGAACCACCTGCAGCTGTGAACGGCGGCATGGCGCTACGATGGCACTACGATGGACACTGCAGTCATCAGAAGTCAATTGAAAATATTTCGACCACCAAGTACTGTCACTTATAAAGATCATGAACACAATTTTCACATCTTTCTTCTTCATTGATTATCTGGTTTATATCAGCGTTAAGTAACACATGAAAACCGGGGAATTATCACGTCGTTCAATACACAAACCTCGTTGTACCGCACCCCTGTTATTATGGACTTTGATAGACTGGAAAGTGTGTTAGTTCTCAGTGCTCACTTCTGTGATTAAATCCATCTTTCTAACAGGAATACATATCCTTGGCCTCGTGTCCTGTGCTGTTTTATATCGAATTCCTTACACTGTGAGTTTTATTACATTAGAAACGCAGGTGATTGTGAAGGAATTTTATGCATACCGTTACCTTTGGGTTTCACATTAAGTATTGATCAAAAGAAACTTTACCATATGCACGTATGTCTCCGAGGAAAAGATAGATGTCACGCAATAAAATAACTGCCAATCCAGAAGTTCTCACCGCATGGGTGTTGGCTGTTCATATTATGTCTATGCCTCGTTCCCACTGCTCTGTTCTTAGTCTTGTTTATTGAGTTTTGTTTTTTAAATGTGTATGCTTGATTGGATCACAGTGCCATTCTGTAACCCCCGTGATTATACAATTCCCACATTCTTTTAAGTGAGTGGGTTTCGTCAAAAGTGGTGAGCGTCTAAGAGCTTGATTACTTCGGGGTTTCCTCCAGCAACAAGCAGACAGGCCACGAGATAGCTTAAATACTATTCAAAGCGACGTGAAACACACCTTACTCACTCTGTACGAACTTAACAATTAAGGAGAGTGATATAGGTGGGCAAACATTCTCCCTTTTCGTAAAACACCCACTTATGGGTATGGTACTGAAAGACCAAGAGTAAACCTCTGAACGGATCTAACTGGGATTCGAACCCGCCTAGTGGACGTCGTGTAGTTGGAATACCATGTTGTAAAATACCGCCATTCATCGTGACTGTCTGAACCCAAATATGTCATTGCTATAGATTCCATACTTTAAAGTGGGAATGGTTGAGTGAGTCTTGAGTACAGCGCACGGGCGACACATGGTACGGCGTTGAACAACGTTGGTCGCGGCGGTTGAAGAATCGTGTTTGATTCCTGAGGGTTTCAAGGGATTCGGCCCTGACACAAAACTGACGTGTTACGTTATCCCCTTGGTCAAGTGACTTTGTACCTCGGTTCACCAAGACGCGAAGGGGTACCCGGTAGAATGAGATGGGAATGTGATTGTTAACCTTCAAGCGCCTCACAGGTTTTGGTTGTGTGCGCCCTATATATAAATCTAAGTGTGCAGACAGACAGACAGACAGACAGGCAGGCAGACAGACAGACAGACAGACAGACAGACAGGCAGGCAGACAGACAGACAGACAGGCAGACAGACAGACAGACAGACAAAATATAAAAGTCCAAAGATGCGCTGTACATTTTACTCGATTTCAAGAATGTAATTTGCAAGTATTATATACAAACAAAATGTTTTACAATTCAGAAAGAACACTGTGTCGAGTAATAATTATAATACTTTATAAATCGAGTAGCAATTGCGTGGGCCGTTTTCTGAAAAAAAATGTCTTTTCAAGAATATGTTAAACAAAGTAACAAGTACAGACTATTACAACTTCCCACTGTAACATTAAACGCAAATATCGCCTTTGCAGAGATAACGTCCTACGCAAACAAACATCCAGGCCTCATTCCGCCCCCTACTGACTATTGCGAAAGGGGATAATGCTGTGTTAGAAGTTCACAGGTGAAGCATCACATACTGGTTTGCATGTACTGGCCACCCACGCCCACACCTACACCCACACCCTCACCGATACCCATGCCCACACCTACACCCACACCCTCACCCACACCCACACCCACACCCTCACCCCCACACCAATACCCACACCCTCACCCCCACACCAATACCCCCACCCTCACCCCCACACCTACACCCTCACCCCCACGCCAATACCCACACCCTCACCCCCACACCTACACCCACACCCTCACCCCCACACCAATACCCACACTCTCACCCCCACCCCAATACCCACACCCTCACCCCCACACCAATACCCCCACCCTCACCCCCACACCTACACCCTCACCCCCACACCAATACCCACACTCTGCTGCACGATTTGGTGTAGAAGGCATGTGTGAGTTCGATTTACGTGCAGCGGGAGGAGCTGGGTGACAAAGCCGTGTAATTCCTTGTAATAATAATAACAACAATAATAATCATAATTCTTTGGAACAGGTCTGTATACAGCCTCATACCTATCCACGCCAAAAAACCTGATGTGTTTTTGGTAAATCCAATGAAATAATTTCTATCATTGAATTGTCTGGACTGTTTGACACTTATGTGATTGAGGAGAAACAGGAAAAACAAGGCAAATATGCAGACCTCGCTTTCGAAAAGGCACGCTTGCATTTGCATCCCAAGTACCAAGTTTTCCTACCCCCAAGTGTGTTCGGGGTGCTGACTGACATTGGGAGAGTACCCGGGTATGGTGCCATGAATACAGCCCTTCTGACAATCTTGGTAATGCAGAAGGCTGCAGTGTTGGGTAGTCTTCACATTTTCCGAAAAGTTCTGGGTGGGTTTGACTAGGCAGCGCTTCCCGGGAGAAGTCCCATTCGCTGTCTGGGCTGCGTGTAGAGGGGGCAAGGGCCCTGAGCTGATGATGAGCCTAACCAGCCTGACTGTGTGACAACGTATTGTTTTAAGTTATGTAATATATGACACATGTGTTCACGTGTCTATTGAAACGACATTTGTAGTGTTCTGTTGGATCTTGTAATAAGTGAGTGAACTCTTCAAAGACGGTTCTGAAACGCTCGCCCTGAACGACTTCAAGCCGAGTGATCAGCTTTTACTTTGTATTCAACATACAGCTGACTACAAGACATAGGATCTGGAGTGTGTTATTAAGCCCCAGTCTGATCATTCGGACATTAAAGGCCATGTTTGAAATAATAAACTGTGATGCCTGCTTTGATTGTATCTCAGCTTTGTTTGAAAGCCAGTTCGCTAATCATTCATGCGCTTGTGACCCATTTTATATCGCAGCCTTGGCTATGTTTTTAAGCTTTTTCTAAACTCGACAGGGCTCACTTTGAAGAATGTGCGGTGTGGTAGCCTAGTTGTTTAAGCGTTCGCTTGACATGGGTACAATCTGTGAAGTTCATTCCTTGTGTCCCCCTTCGTGATATTGCTTAATTATTACTAAAAGCGTCGTAAAACCATACTCACTCCCAAACTTTGAGGAACGAATGTGTGTTGCTCAGTATCGGGAAACACTATTTTAATTGCAGCACAAGGATGCAGGTCCCAGATGTTTAACACTTTAGCGAAAGCCAAAAGCATGTGTACGGTGCTGACAAAGCTATTGCCGTAACCTAAGAGAATCAGTGATTCGAACCTATGAAGAGCGGATCCGTCAGCACTGGGCCACCAGTGGATCCTCGTTTGAAGGTACAATTGGACCGACAAAACATCCAATGAGTTTGTTACTTGTAAAAAGGGAACGTGAACCGCGAAATGCTTCGAGTTCAAAGATTATATAAAACGTAAAAGAATAAATGGTTCGCGTGTGCAGGTAGCAAGTAATATGACGCTTGATGTCATTCCGTACCCCGATAATGCAACAGCTGCAAATAAATACGCAATAACGGATAATGTTTAAGGATTGCTGACTAAGCTCCAATCAATCAGCCGCTCCAGGTGACTGTGGGCGTTTTCAGTCACCACATTTGAAGGCTGAATTAACTGCCTACAGCACCATCGACGCTGTCACCACAAATGTCAGCAGCTCACCTACACTGACAGTCAATACCTGGATGACCTTCCAGCGTCTCCCTGCTTCAACACCAACGTACATCCATGTTCCAGATGTTGCGAAATACACACTGTTACACTATCTCAAGTATCTACCGGAGGGTACTGACAGAGACTTTAAAACGTTAATAGCATGTAATAGCTTTTTTACTACAAGGCCACTTACAAAACCCACGCACTCCGTTCGTGTTCTATCACAGCTAATTGATGTTTAACAATTGTCAAACATTAAAAAATGTATATTTATTGTAATACTTTGTTGAGTTCGGCGTCGCTCCAAGCGAATTCGCCTGGCTTAAAGAATC